TTTCCCCAGCGCCGCACTAAAGCGAGGCCCTTCACTCCTAAATGGCATGGTTTATAACAAATTGTCTGTTATACCAGACAGAAACTGATTTCCTCAAACCCAGCATATTAAAGTGAGTACATTCATTCTGGTTGTAACACACAAAATGTGATTATAACAGACACTTTGGGGGCTTTTTAAGGCTAGCGGAGAAGAGGAGGATAAGCTGGAGGGGAAGAAAGAATTGACAAGTAGAGAAATGACAGAGAAAGAGAAACAGCCACGCTGATTTCATTTCTTACAAAACAAAAATCTTTGTGTGTTGTAGAAATGTGCTTTAGTTAACACCGCCAGATAGCCAGAGCAAAAGCTGCCGGTGCTGCCTGAAACGAAAATTGCTCTATTGTGCTTAGAAAACCATTTCCCACAGTGAGGAGAACGCTTTCCAGGTAGCACAAAGCAGATCTGAAACCAACGGGGCCTTATCCTGCAACTGTTGCTCCCTCAAATAATCCCTGCAGCCACGAGGAGCCCCAGCTGAATCAGTGTGAGTGAGGATTATGTGGGAGTGTATCAAGGTTGGGGGATTAGACCGGGATTATCACTAAAACCAGTAATTCCCCATCTTGCTGATGTGGCCATCAGCTCAGGAGGCAGGGGATGGGAGCTGCTGGACCAGAGGCTGACCTCTCCTCCAGTGGGTGCTAGCAGAGCAGCAGAGCAGGAGCAGACCCACGCTCTGCTCACACAGCAATGCCAGTGCTGCCCCTTCCCTGGAGCTGCCACCACGGAGCCACCCCAGAGTCAGCCAAGGACCCCCCTGCCAGTTCCACCTGGGCACAGCAGCCTCTCAAGGGGCTCTCCCATGTCACACCCTGTCCTCTGGCACATCAGCCCCTGCCACCACGGTGTCCCAGGGCAGCCCTGGGGACAGAGCAAGCTGCTGTCCCCGGGGGGTTTCCCATCCTGGAGCAGCAAACGAACACCATGTCCCAAAGCAGTGCAAACCTGGGATGTAAAACTGCCTCTGAAGCACAGATACAGCCACCACACACACACTGTTTACTTTTTAAACCAACAAGTCAGAATGCAGGCGTGTAAGTGCTACCCAAGGGTGGCTGCTCTACATGCAAGTCATGTGCCCCGGATCCTAAAAGGCTCAGCATTCAGACCAATTTCCACACCACCCCAATGCAACACGCATTTTTATCAAGGAAGCTGCCTAATGGCTCCTATTAATTCTGATTTTTAATCTCCTGGTACAATTCCCAGCGATATACATGCAAAACCTGACAACAAGCCCTTTTGGTTTCAAAGCTGACTTCTCCTCCAGCTCAAGGAAGACACAAAAGAGCTCTGGGCAGCAGCAAAGCCCCTGAGCAGCAATGCCCTTGCAGCTCCAACATGTCCCACTCTCCCTGCTGCAAAACAACAAACACTAACGGGGGCCAAGCCTCCTGCTGTCAGCCACCATCACCAGAGCTGCTCACAAACACTTCTGGCCAGCTGCCTACAGCCACAGGGTGCTGAGGGGCTGGGCAGCATCCCCGAGTGGCACCCTGGCACCCACGGCACCACTGACTCCCAGCAGGGCCAGAGCAGCCCGGGACACCCCCCTGACCCCAATGCTCTCCTGGCACAAGGACCCTGGCACAAGCAGAGCTGTCAGCCAAGCCCAGCCCCACGCAAAGGGAAAAGCTTTATAAGGGTGGTCTACAGCTTCTTTTGCATCCCCAGAGCAGCCCCCACAGACAGCACTCCTTAATCCTTTCCGGATCACCAGGGAAGGATGAGAAGCACCAACAAACCCAATTATTCCCAGCCCCGAGACCTGCCACCGCTCTAGAAGAAACATTTCCTGAAGCTCCACAAACAAGCCATCCTTGGGGACTTTTATTTCAAGGCTCCTGACTGCTAAAATAAATGAGGCTCACGTTAAAGACCGGCTACATCACAAAGGCACCGCTGCTGGGGCAGCACGTGCCTGCAGAGGCAACAGCTCACCCTCAGCCACAGCCACCATATGCCAAGTGACACTGCCAGAGACACATTTACCTCGTATTTCATCTGTTATCAAGCCGTGCTTTGCCTTCCCATCAGGAAAAGTCACTCCTAGGTGGAGCAGCAATGATATCTCCCCGATGCTGACACCTCATAAAGCCTCCCCGGGGAAAGAGCAGCGGCTTCATCACTGGGAGCGACTCAAACCAGCCCAGACAAAGTACCCCGGGAAGCCCTGCAGGGAGTGCTTTGGCTCTGCAGACGCTGGGCAGGGACTGTGTTTATTAAACCCTCAGCAGCGGAGGTGTGCCAGAGCACCCTGCACAGCACAGCAGCACAGCACAGCAGCACAGCACAGCGCTGCTCCAGCACTGACGGCTGCAGGGTCGGGGCTGTGCTCCTCCATGGCAATGACTGCTGGGGAGCTCCTGGGCACCCCGAGTGCCAGGACAGGGCTGCCACTCCAGCACCAATGAACCACCTCACTCTCAGGGGTCATGGGGGTTTTAGAAGCCAACAGAACCCACGCCACCAGCAAGACAGCTTCGCCTGCAACGGCTGGAAGCATTACACTGGGGTTCTGTAGCTATGATATTTTATGAAAAATCCCTTGCCAGGATTTTTCCCTCCTGAGGAGCTGAGAGCCTCAGAAGAGACATGTAAACAATAACTGTGTGCTGCTGTGGAATGCAACAGGTGCATCTTCCACTGGTCCATGTGGATTGTTTTCAACTGATGACCAGCCACAGCCACCTGTGGCAAGGCTGTGAGCGGTCACAAGATTTTGTTATGCATTCTGTTCTTGTTCTTTCTAGCCTTCTGATCAATCTTTTCTCTCTATTCTTTTAATATAGTTTTAACGTAGTATTTTAATATAATATGTATCATAATATAATAAACCAGCCTTCTCAGAGCATGGAGTCAAGCCTCACATCTCCACACAAGGGGTGTTCACAATAGGGTTCTGCCAAAAAACATCAACATTCCCACCCTAAACTAAACTTCCAAACAGCTTCCAGTTGGGATTTCTCCGCCCCGTACCCTGATCGTGCCCTTTTGTCCAGCAGCAGCTCCAGAGAGGAGTAGCCCCTGCCAGGACACGTTTCTCTCACACGAGAGCTGCCGTGCCCTGGCAGGGCTGGCGAGCTGCCTGCTGCCCCTGGCCAGCTCCCGGGGCTGCTGCTCCACTGGCACTCCAGCCACTCATTACAAGGGACAAACTTATTTTCCAGGCAAGCTACCAGCTCTTCACAGTGCATCTCACCTGCACAAGTGATGGGAAATGGAGCGAGCTGGAGCCACAGGGAGAAACAAGCATCCCTCACAAGAGGGTGAACGGGGCAGGGAGATCTCTGGAGGGCACACTCCACGAGACCCCAGCCCAGCTGCTGCATCACAGAGGAGCACAGGAGCACTGCCTGCTGCATGTAGCTGCCTGCTAACTTTATCAGCTGAGCTAGGATGGTCCTGGTGGTCCTTCCCTCCTCCCTGGCACCTGAGACCTCCCACTGCCAGCATGCACTTCTGGAGAATGCCAGCCTGTGATGGATTTTGTGACTGGTGGCAGTGCATCACAGGCTGGCAGGATGCTCCAGTGCCCACAGCAAGGCACCAGGCAGAGATGCACTCCAGAATCCCCTCCAGAAGACAGGAATTCCTCAGGGACCACTGCCCACAGCATGGCAGCAGCAGTGGTCACTCCTATGGGCCAGCACTGGCACACGGCCTCTCAGAGCTGGTTCTGCCCCAGGGGAAGTCAGTTTAGGGTTCAGTGAGCATTCTGCCAGTACCACCACAGCAGGACCAGCCCCCAGCACCAGCCCTCTCCAGCAGCCCTGCAGAGGGCTGCTCAGCTCTCTGCAGCCCCAGCACGAATCTGAAGCAGCTCCATTGCCTTCAGCAGCAGCATTTTGCATTTACACCAGCACACTGAACACGAAACAGAGTGAGCCATAAATATTTCAGCTGCATTTTCAGCTTTGTTATTCTGTTCAAAGCAGGAAACATGACAAACCTTTGATTGTTTTGCTTAAAACCAAACAATAATTCAAAGAGAGACAAACAAGCAACATTAAATGATGCCTGTGATGTACAGGAAAGCCAAAGAATTAGAAGAAACTGATGAGGATGGTGTGGATCAGAGCAGTCCCTTTCCCTGCCTTTGGCTGGTACCACACATCCCTCCCCTGCCAGCCAGGGTCCTGCACAGTGCGGGGACAGCACTGGGCCAGGTGTGCAGGTGGTGACAATGGGACATCCCACACGGCCTGCACCCCCAGCAGGGCCAGCTGCCTGCAGAGGAGCAGCCACCAACACTGCTTCCATGAGCCTTTTGAAAAAACTTCTGTGAAGGAGAGTGTCTCCTCCCCTGAGCATCACCATGCTCAGAATCCTCCTGCCAAGCAGCATCTCCAGCCTCTGGGCACATGGAGAGAGCCCACCTGGGCACCTCTGAGGATCCCTGCAGTTCTGGGGATGAAAAATCCACCCATGGCCACATGTCAGGGCTGCCCCTGAGCCCACAGGTGAGTGCTGGCTGCTGCCCCCTGCCCATCCTCCATCACTGCCTCCCCCTGGGGTGTCCAGCACACAGAAACCACCGCAGTGTGCTCTGACCAGCACACAGAAACCACCACAGGGTGCTCTGACCAGCACACAGAAACCACCAAAGCCTGTCCTGTGCAGCCTTCTTTGCCCAGCACACAGAGGCCACCAAAGCCTGCTCTGACCACTACACAGAAACCACCAAAGCCTACCCTGTGCAGCCTGCCCTGTGCAGCACTCAGAAGGCAGCAGTGCAGCTGCCCAGCACTCAGAAGGCAGCAGTGCAGCTGCCCAGCACTCAGAAGGCAGCAGTGCAGCTGCCCAGCACACACAAGGCAGCAGTGCAGCTGCCCAGCGCTCAGAAGGCAGGAGTGCAGCTGCCCAGCACCAGCTCTGGCAGCGCTGGCACTGCCAGGCCCCGGGCAGAGCGGAGCAGGGAGCCGCGGGCAGCAGCCCTGGCACACTCACTCACTCACCTCTGGCAGCGGCATGCCGTTGATGATGAGGTCGGGCTGCTGGGGGCTCTGCCCCGTGAAGGTGTGGTGGTAGATGTGGTTGGAGCCGGCGTTCCTGCTGTTCTGGCTCTCCACGTTGAGGAAGGTGCTCTCGGAGCGGCGGCAGCCCAGCGGCAGCGTCTGCTGGTGGTAGTCGAAGTAGTTGAGGGAGGAGGTGAGAGAGGAGCAGCTCACCACGTTCATTTTGTCCGTCTCCTCCACGTCCCGCGGCACCAGGCGGATGTCGTTCTTGCTGATCTTCTTCTTCTTGCTCGACTTCTTCTGATGCCCGTAGGAGTACTCCGCGATTCTGGGGGACAGAGGGAAAATGAGGAGCTGGGAGCATCCCAAACCTGCCCCGCTGAATTGCCACGCAGAAACCCAGAGGGCCTGGCCCCATCCCCGTGTGGGCTTCTCAGTCATGCACCTTACGTCATGCTTTGGGGCTGGTGGCACGCCACAGCTTTAGCTTATTTCCATTCATATTTTCAAATGTATAACGTTTTCAGGTCAAACATGCAAAGAAAATGGGAAGGGAGAATGCTCCTGTTTTGATCTAGTCTACGTAATTGCTGATATTTAGTTACTAGAAGTAAAGCCCAGCCTGCAGAAGAGAAAAATGGAGATGTTAAAAACCATGAACTGAAAAGGGTACCTGCATTCATTTCCATGCTTAATAAGGATTTTAGAAGTGATTTAATTTGGTCCCCATAATGAAAATTCAAAACAAATAGCAGATTTTTTCCCCAGTTCATTTTCCATAGCAGTAAATAAAGCAGACTCAGAAGCAGTCCTAGCTGGCAAGCTCAATTCTCTCACACTCCACAGGCTGTTTGTTTATTAATGCTTTATCTAAATTGCTGGTGTTTTGACTGTCTCCTGATCATACCTGATCTTTTCTCCAATTGAATTCCATTCCTGCCTCACACTGACACGCACATCCCCTTCTGCTGGGAAATGCTTTCACCTTCTCAAAATCAGAGAACAACAACCGTGCGTTTTGCAAAGAAAAATGATCCTTTTTGACCTTTTTCTTTAACTGCAAGCTTGTTTTTCTCTGCCTTTCCTTCCCTCTTTGCTTCCCACCTGCCAAAAGAATCAACTGATGAAGTGCCTTGTTTGCCTTCTGCAAAACACCGGAGGAAAAAAGTTACTGCAAAACACCACCCGAGCAAATAATGACAAATTATTTGCACCTTGCATTAGCTGGGTCTGCTCGGCTCACAGTGGCTGTGGCTCATCTTCCCACAGTGAGTACCACAACAGTCCCTGCCATTAATTTGTACATGCACAGCACTGGGCAACTCGGTATTTCCTAGGCAAGCACATCAAATGCCATGCACAGTCAGAAATGCACATCTGAAAGTCAGGATTTTGCTCCTCTTCTTGTTATGATAACAGCATTAAAAAAAAAAAATCCAATAGCTGCAACAGAAATAACGGGATGAATAAATAATACAGTTTATCTGGAAAGGCAAATCTTGGACAAATATTCTTGCTCCAGAAAGCTAATTGCCTGAGCGTGAAAATGCCACTAAGTCGAACAGCCCTCATATGTGCTCATAAATTAACACGTCATCTGAAGCGTCTCCAGCAGCAGCTCTGCTGAAGAATCTCTAACGCAGGGCTCTGCAAACCTCGAGGCGTGGGGAGAGTGCCCCACGGTCGCTGCCGAGGCTGCCTGGTGCTTCCCCAGCTCTGCAGCTGACTCCTGCTCAGACACACACCGATGGCAGCCCGAGCACCCCCGAGCGTGCAAATAAATCACGGGCAGGCAGGGATCTCTGTTGTGCCAACAATCTATATGCTGCTGACTCGTCTAACAATGCTTGATGAAGCTTTAATTGTTTTGTTTACCTAAATGTTTAAGTTTGGCAATGCGAGAGCCCAATTATTTCCTGCAGGCATTCATTTTTCGGTCCTTTCTCTATTGACCAATTATTTAATTAAACCGCACTTCATTAATCCCTAAGCCGTCACAGTGAACCCAGGGTTCACACGTATGTGGGGAGCTCTTAGGGGCACCACCACAACATGATTTTTATCCATTCAGGTCCCATCCCCTTTTAATGGGCCGAGCTGGCAAGAAACCTGGTCTGTGAGCTTTCACTTGAAGCTAGACATCCCATAATACAGCACAGACCGACCTTTATTTGCAGATGATTTTTCCCCCATCGAGCAAAAAGGCTTATATACGCACTTTCCGCTGTGAAAACGGGGTACAATGCCCCGACTCTCCGGCATTATTTCTGCGTAAATAAAACTTTAAAGACCGCACATCCCCCCGCGCCGCCGAATTGCCAGGGGCGAGCGTGCGTTTCCAAGGTAGAGCAAAATTAATTTCCATCCCTCCTCTCTGAAACGACTCGGTGCCGAAGGAATGGAGAAGTCATGGCTATTTCACCAGTAACAGGATTAAACCATTTATGAGGCATTGCAGCTGCTCTTTTATGGCATCTGATTGATATTCATGTGTGGTTAGCATTTGTCTCCTAACTTGTGTAACACAGAGAATAGTAAAAGAGAGACAATAATCGCCGGGCTGTTACATATTCAGGGGGCTGGATTTCCCCCGTCAGCCTTTCAGCGGCTCCAGGCGCGGGGCTCACCTCCCCTCCGGCATTTCGGACCGCGGAGCGCTCACCCAGCCGGGGCAAAAACCGCGCAAAAATCCGCCCGGCCGGCGCTGCCCGGGGCCGGGGCCGCGCTCGGGGGGCTCCGGGGGGCTCCGGGGGCTTTGGGGGGCTCTGGGGGGTTCTGGGGGCTCTCCGCCGCCGCTGGCCCCGCGGGCAGAGCCGCAGCGGGCACACAATAGCTCCTTTCAGCGGCCAGCCCAAGGATGGGGATGGCTGCCGCGGGGATGCCGGGGATCGCTCGGCAGCCCGGGCAGCCGTGCCGGGGATGCCCGCGGGAAGCAGCCGTGCCCCGGCAGCGCCGTTCTGCCCGCCGGGTGCGATGGAGCACGGACAACCAGCGGCGCCGCAACAGATTGTCAAGCCGCGCAATTGAGTCGATTCGTTACTCCGCTCTCCTCGCGGAGGACCATTTCTTAAAGCTTTGCGAGGAATTTTCTCACACGGACGGGAACCTCGGTTTTGTTCCTAAGGCAAATCCACCCCTCTTCACCAGCCCCAAGCATACAGCAGCAAATGCAAAAGTAACCGCGATGGCAAAAATCAAAGCAGACCCGCAGGTGCACACAAACAAAGGTATCTTTACCTGCAGTTGTAGGTCCTGATTTCCTTGTTATCCCTTTTGCACTTGACTGCCACAAAGATCATGGTGACAAAAAGAATGGCTGCAATAGACCCCAGGGCAATAATGAAAATCAAGGAGAGGTTAACAGATCCTATGGACTCCTGGGCATCCAGGGCTGGAGACAGGTATATCAAAATCAAGGCAGAAGCCGAGAGAGATGTTTTCCCATGGTCGTGAGCCACCACGATGAGCTCATAGGCTGTTTTGGCGTTCTCCCCAAAGGCTCTGGTGGTCCTTATCTCTCCATTGACCTGGTCGATCTCAAAAAATCCTCTGTCTCCTTCCACCATTTCGTAGGAGAGCCTGCCATTTTCACCCTCATCATAGTCATCTGCCTTGACCACTGTCACCAAGTAGCCAACGCCCGCGTTCCTGGGGATGTACACCTCGGCCGTGCCATTGACCAGCGGCGGGGCCGTGATCACGGGCGTGTTGTCATTGACGTCCAGGACGATCACCCTGACGGTGGCATTGCTCTGCAGAGAGGGATTACCCCCATCCTTTGCCAAGACCTTGAACTCAAAGGCCTTGGTCTGTTCATGATTGAAAGACCTCAAAGCATAGATATCTCCAGAGTTGGGGTTGATGGAGACATAGGTGAAAACAGGCATGTCCCTGACTTGGGAGGGCACGATCTGGTAGGACACGCTGCCATTGAGGCCCAGGTCAGGGTCCCTGGCAGACACCGAGAGGAGGTAGGCCCCCGGGGTGTTGTTCTCCTGCACGATGACTTGGTAATAGGGCTTGGAGAAGTGGGGATGGTTGTCATTCTCATCGGTGATCTTGACGGTGAAGGACTTGGTGGCCTGCAGGGAAGGGATGCCGTTATCCCTAGCCTGGATGGTGAGGTTGTACTGGTCCCTCTGCTCCCGGTCCAGCCGCCCGTCCACCAGGATGGTGGAGAAGCTCTCGTACTCCTGCAGGCGAAAAGGCACGTTGCCCAGGAGCTTGCACTGCACGCGCCCGTTGGCCCCGGAGTCGCGGTCCGAGACGCGCACCAGGGCGATGACGTACCCCGGCGGCGCGTTCTCGCTCACCTCCACCAGCTCACTGTTGACAGAGAGCAGGTTGATGAGGGGCGGGTTGTCGTTGGCGTCCTGGACGCTGATGGTCACTTTGCAATGGGCAGGGATGGAGTTAGGCCCCAAGTCCTTGGCCTGCACGTCCAGCTCGTAGACGTGACCCTCCTCATAGTCGATGGCACCGCTCACCGTGATGAGGCCGCTCTGGGGGTCGATTTGGAAGAGCTCCCGGGCCCGCTCAGAGACGTAGCTGTGGAAGGAGTAGAGGACCTGGCCGTTGGTGCCCTCGTCGGGGTCAGAGGCGTTGAGGCGGATGACGGGCGTCCCCGGTGGGGCATTTTCAGGCACGCTGACGGTGTAGGCTGGCTCCTCGAAGAGCGGGTTGTTGTCATTGGAGTCGATGACGCGGATGCTGAGCTCCACTGTGCCAAAGTTGGGCGGGTCACCACCATCCAGCGCCGTGATCACGTAGCTGTAGTGGGACTGGGTCTCACGGTCCAGGCTCTTCTCCACCACCAGCTCAGCAAAACGAGACCCATCACCCCGCGTCTTGGTCTCCAGCCCAAAGAGGTCGTTGGGGGTGATCTCATAGCTCTGCACACCAAAGCTGCCCGAGTCCGGGTCATAGGCACTCTCCAGTGGCACCCGGGTGCCAGGGCTGGCCGTCTCCGAGATCTCCAGCTCGATCTGGTCGGTGGGGAAGCTGGGCGCATTGTCGTTCAGGTCCTTGATCTCCAGCTTGATCACGCAGATCTCCATGGAGCTGGACATCACCTCCAGCGAGATGACACACTTGGGGCTCTGCCGGCACAGCAGGTCCCTGTCGATCTTCTGCTTGGTCACCAGCAGCCCGGACCCGGGGCTGATGTCCACCAGGTGAGGGGCCGAGTTGGAGACCACCCGGAAGGCGGCGGGCTGCCGGGGGTCCAGCACGAAACCGGCGTCCCGGGCGTCCTTGGCGACGTTGGCGATCACCGTGCCGGCCCGCTGCTCCTCCTCCACCGAGTACTTGAGGTTGACGAGGGCCCCGGCGCCGGCCCACAGCAAGGCGGCCCCCAGCAGCGCCGGGAGAGCCCCCATGGCCGCGCCGCGCCCCGACGGAGCGCCGCCGCCAATGGGAGAGCGCCGCTGGGCGGGGGCGGGGCCGGGGCGGGGCCGGCGGCGCGGACGGGAGCAGCATTAGCACGGAGCCGCGCGGAGCGGAGCGGAGCGGGACGGTACAAGACGGGACGGGACGGGACGGGATGGATGGAGCCGCTGCCCAAGCCCGGAGCCCGTTGTCCCCGCTGTCCCTGCCCCGCTAAGACCGTCCCGCTGCCCGGGAGCTGCGGACGCAGCGGTGTTTTGGCTCCGCGGCCGCGGTCACTTCTTTAGCGAGTGCGTGCTGGGCGGTGGCGGATCTCCGCGGGCAGCGCGGGGACCAGCGGGTCCCGCGGAGCGCCCCAAGTCCGCTCAGTAGAGCCTGAACGCTGTGGGGCAGGAGGAGCCCGCCCGCCGGGCAGTGCTCCCGGGAGCCGGCGAGGGGCCCGGCAGCGCCCAACGCCCCCGGGAGGCTCCGGCCCCGCAGCGCCCGCTGCACCGTGCTCATCCCCGGGGAAACCACCGCGGTGCCGTGCCCTCCTGACAATGCAATAAAGCCTTCCCGGTGCGCGTGCCCCTGCCTTACCTCCCGTCTCCGTGCGCCGCCCGCAGGGCCCCGGGGGCTCTGTACCGGGCCGGGGGAAGGTGTCACCGGGAGGACCCCCGGCGGGTCGCGGCTCGGAAACCTCCCAACACGCCGTTCCCCTCCCCGGGGTTACAGCGGGGCCGGGGCCGGCGCGGCCGTCGGCAAAGCGCCCCGCAGCCCGCGGGTCGGCAGCGGGAGGGTCGGGGGGCAGCGGGGCGGCTGTCCGGTGTGTCTGCCGCGGCACAGGTCCCGCTGCGTGCTTGGCATCGGGAACCCACAGCTCGGCCGCGCCGTCGGGCCCCGCCGCGCCTTCCCAGGCACAAGGGCGCCATCTCGCGGCCTCGCGGGAGGCGGCACGGGGACACCGAGAGAACGAGACACCGGGACATCGAGACACCGAGAGAACGAGACACCGGGACATCGAGACACCGGGACACCGAGAGAACGGAACACCGGGACATCGAGACCCCGGGACACCGAGAGAACGGAACACCCGGACATCGAGACACCGGGACATCGAGAGAACGGGACGACCCCGGGACACCGAGAGAACGGAACACCGGGACATCGAGACACCGGGACATCGAGACACCGGGACACCGAGAGAACGGGATACCGGGACACCCGGCCTGGGCGGGGTTCCTCTGGCAGCACGGGCTCCTCCCGCCTGGGAGGTGACCGGGATACCGCCTGCCGCCAGGGACAGCATCCATCCACGATCACCGTCCCCGCCACGGCATCCCTTCAGAGCCACACCGTGCCCGTGATCCCATCCGCGCGACAGCATCTGTCCGGGGACAGCACCTCCCCGGCGGCGCCGGTCCCGGGCAGCATCCCCCGGGGCAGCATCCGCCCTTTGTGCATCCCCCGGGGCAGCAGCCCCCCACGGCAGCACCCCACGGGGTGCCCCCCGTCCAGGGAGGGACGCAGCACCCCGGGACAGCCCAGGGGAGCCCCCTCCTCCCCGCAGGGCCCCTCCGTTTCCGCGGCCGTGTCCTGGAGCAGAAGGACAGACGCCGGCAGAGGAAAAAGCCTTTGCCAGGTGCTCCTTCTCGTCTCCGGAAAGCGGCAGCGCAGGTCACTGTGACCCACGGGGGAGTGGCAGTGCGACACGGAGGGGTGGCAGGTGGGGACGGCACGAGGGGACAAGGCCCTGTCGAAGTCTTCCATGAAAAAATTAATTCTGATGACTTGAACTGTGCCGTGTGGATTGAAAACCTGGCTGAGGGATCATAAACAAAGGGTAATTAGAAGCAGGGGAGGTGTTTATGGGGTACTGCAGGGATCTAGGTTAGGGCTGCTCTCATTTAATACCCTCATTAATGACCTGGAAAGAGGGAGTAAACTACGCATTAATGAATTTGGCAGATGATGCTATACTGGGAGGTGCTGTGAGCTCCAGCAAGCACAGAAAATTAACACAAAAAGGGCCTAGTGAGATTAGAAATATGGGCAGCAAGCAGCGAAAGGAGCCGGGCCGTGGACAGATGTGAGCGAGCGCGGCTGCGACGCGAAGGCGAGTCGGAGCGACAGCAGGGCAGGCTGAGCCGAGCCAAGCCGAGCCGAGCCAAGCCAAGCCAAGCCAAGATGCAGAGAAAAGCCGGGGCCAGGGGTCAGCGGGGGGGACGCGGGAGGCTGCTGCGCTCACGGCTGCGGTCGGACCGGCCCCGCGGTGCCGTGCGGGGCTCAGGTGCGGCCCCGGCGCTCCCGCGGCACACGCGCCTTGGCGGCGGCTCACAGGGAAGCCGCACAAATGATCAAAGGCACGGAGAGACTGATTTCTGAAAGATTAAAAGGCTTAAATATATATATTGCTTGGTTAAGAGCTGTCCGTGGGGAGACAAACTAAGAGCCTTACGGATCTGGTTGGAGTAAATAGAGAGGGAGGGAAGGAATTATTTAATAGACTACAAGGGGCATCACCAGAAGGGATGACAGGAAATGAAGAAATGGAGCATTTAGGTTGAATGTCACAGGGGAAAAAATCCCCTCTGCTGACAGCGAAAATTATGAGACTGCGACGTGGTTCCCTGGAGGGAGAAAGTTCTGTGGCTCAAGATATTTAAAAGCAGACAGGATCAGTCTGAATATAAAGGCGCCTGGGATCAGCTACTGGCAGGGGCTGGGCAGAGGAGCAAGAGCTGGGCAGGGTGCACCTCATTTCCCAGCTCTTTTTCCACTGAACTATTCCTTTATGGATCACACCTATAAAAGACCTGCATTTCTCTATTTATTGCATATACGTATTTCTGCTGCTGTAAAGGAAATCACAGCCAATGGATGCTGTGCCAGTCACCTCATAGCCAGGCAGGGCTGAAAAGGCCCTGAGATCAGAGGAACCTCACCTCTCTGTGGGAACGAAGGGGGAGTGGAAGTGGGTCAATAACTGATACGAGGCTGCTGAGTGTAGAACCATAACTGTGTGACATGCCCTGGAGCACAAGATCTCCAGGTTTGCCTTCTGCAGAACATCTCAGTGCTCTTCTGCAGGATGCTCTGCAGCTGGCCAAGGAGGAGCCAGGCACAGCTGGCCGAGGAGGAGCCAGGCACAGCTGGCCAGCCACCCATCACCTGCAGCCGTGCTGAACCCTCCACCTGCTCACCTGCTGCTGGCTTTGTCAGAGGCTGTGACGGGATCCCTTTGGAACAAAACAAGCATCGATTGCAGCCCCACCTCTTCCCCATCTCCTGCCTCACTGGAGGTCTGTGCGTGCTGTCAAGAGAATGGATTAATAGTCCTATTATCAGTTCAGATGGATGGCCAGGGTGAGGAGAAAACATCGCGTCCCAGGGAACTCAAGTAGGCACATTAATAAAGATGCCACACGTTGGCTCTGAAATCTAAAAGCTTCGCTCCACTCCTTGCAACACAATTAGCTTATCCAAAGCCCAGCAGTCCTGTTGCGGTGCACCTGAAGATGCCCTTAGCATCGCTGCCTGGTGGCCTGGCTGGGAGGGAGGGGTCAGTGCCATGGTGGTCCCCGTGTTCCCCTTGGCCAAACCCCCTGCAGCAGCTGGCCCTGCAAGCCCGTTGTGTAGCAGCACCTCCTGCTGCTGCTGAGGAGCTGCATCATCCCCCTGGAGCCCAGGGCCACAGGAGGAGGCTGAGGAGCAGGGTGGCACCAGAGCTGTCTCTCACCCATCTCATTGCTGGGGCTGGGCAGCACGGAGCAGAGATCCTGATCTGCCCACGCTGTGGAATAAGGAAAGCTTTGAATTATAAGCAAGTGGTGCAGCTTGCAGCCCTTTGTTTGAGCACTAATGTGATGACTCCTCTCCAGCCCTCATCCCTGTCAAAAAGTAAATCTCAGCATCTGAAACATGTATATTTAAAACTATGGTATCAGGGGGTTTATTAAGCATTCCTTGTGCAGGGATGATGGAAAAGGACAAGCAGGGATCAGCCCTTCTCACAGAAATCTGCTGCCTGACCAGCTCCTGCTCACATCCCTGCCTCTCCTGGGCTGCAGAGCAGGGTGGGCTGGGGGATCCAATGCCTGCCCTTCATCCCTCCTAGCCCAGGCTCCCTCAGGTCCCAGCTCCCCCTCATCCTCTGCTGGAGCTGGGGGGAGCAAAGCCACGCCCCAGCACCCCACATCTCTGCAGAACTGGGGAGAACATGCACAGAATAGTTTGAAAATTTGAAATCTGTTTTAAACATCAAAGAGGAACTTTATCTTTTTAATTTTTCAGAACCTTTCTTTTAGTTTCTCAGTTCTGAAGTGTTGTTTTTCCCCTTTCCAGCACCTTTTCTTTTAGCTACTAGGTGAAGTAAAATAAATGATGTAGGTTTATTTTTTCCTTTCTTTGCTTATCCAGTTCTGTACAACTTGAAAGCTTTTCAAAGTATCTGGTGTCAGGAGTTACAGTTTAGGTTTGTGGTTTTTCTTCCCCTTGAAATGTTTCTAATATCACAGTGAAGTAGAAAAAGAAAAAACCTGTGGCATAGAAAAAGGAAATGAAGAAATAGGAAAAGTCAGAGCAAAATCCCCAGACCATTCAGCCATGAAACATCTACTGTGTGATGAGAAAGAGAAGGCCTAAATGGAGAAAAATACAAGTTTTTCTATTTAGGGGGGTGTTTGGAAAACAAGACAAAGTATTCAGCTTGGATGTAAAGACTTTTTTCCTTTCATCTCATGGGAATTCAGTGCCCATTCTCAAGAGGGTTTGGAGTAAGGAGATGCTGGCCAGCTCTGCCATCAGCCCTCTGAGAGCCAAACCTTACTGAGCATCTGCAGGACCTGCAGACATCTGTCTGTGTAACTCTGTTAGCAGTTTGCACATAATGCAGATAAGAGACCGCTGCTGTAAAATATTGAGTCTTTAGACTATAAAAAACTGTCTTTCTAAGCTGAAATCTAACTTTATTTGTACTCTTGCAATTCCACCCAAGTCAGCAGGGTTTCCTGGCTGTTAGCAAGGGCAAAGTCTGGC